TCAGTTACGACCGTCAAGAATCCGTTTTTTTGTTCCAAATCTATCCATTGTGTAGATATTTGCCTTTTTTGTCCGTATTGAAAATTAATCACCCTTCAGATCCTTCTGTACTACAATCTGTGAATGGTCGTTCTTCACTCAAAGACACCTCTTGATGCAATGTATATGTTTTCTTCAAGGATGATGCCAAATGTGGTACCCAGTTATTTCATTTGGAATGTCTTTCTTATACAAATGTTCTTTAATTACTTCAAGAAGGTCTCTGTACTGTTATTTACTCCGGCGTCAGTACCTGCGGTTGAAGGGTTAACGAAAGGTCTTCATGGCAAAGCAAAATGTGTTTCTACGGTTCTTCAGCCATATGTACTGTACCTTTGGTTGTTGCTTGCAGTTTTCAACGTTGACATATTAGCTGTACTTCTGACAGACGCTAAAGATCTTAAAACTTGAGCTTGTCGCCTTGAGTCGTTGACATTGGCTGTAGATGATGTCTTATGTAATTGCAGTTTTCGGTTTCATTACCTTTGCTATGAGGCACCAGTTACTGCATCGTAGGAGGAACTATTCTTCTTCAAAAGCGGATATGCGTTTCCCTTGTTCCTCTGTATTGCCAACTGCCTGCTTGTAGACGTCTGCCGTGTTTCGACTCATACGAGAAGCTCATAAGCTGGAGTAAATTGATCTCAGCGCTCAAAAGTGCTCAACCGTTTGTTGAACAGGATCAGCCTCCTTTTCTTTATTTTCATATCTACTGAAGCCACTTTTTCCTATAAGCGAATAAAGTCATTCTTTAACAGTTCCTGAGGTTTTAACCTTATGCGTCTAAGCCAACGCTACTGTATGAAGTTCAGCCAGTGTTTTTGCTCTTTCGTTTGAGCAGCTGTCTGCATGTCGTACAGAGAATAATCCAGTCAGATCCGACAATGGTAGTGAAGGAAAATTTTATACTTATGTACATCGTTTTAACGAGATGATCAAGATCATACTGACTATGGAGTGAGGTAACTTAGCTTACAATGCTTTTCTACCGAATTCCTGGATGTTGTTTAGAACAGTCTGGGTGTGAGAATACATAACGATACTTTGACGCTCGTATAGACGCATGCTTAATGGTATTCATTGTGCAGGATATAAAAATCTACAGTTTTTCGCACTTATGAACTACCGATCATGTTATGGTTTCAAAATTCCATTTTATTATGGTAAAGAATGTAGCTGCCTCATGGAAAGGGAGAGAAACCAATACATGCAAAGTAGAAATTTGCTATCGCCTCCTTGATAGGGGGATGGAGGTTCGTTATTGATTTCGTGTAAAGTATTAGTGCTTTCGTATGCCTTGTGGCACTGATTAGTGGTTAATTCCTCAACGAGACGACGCGAAGTAAATTCTATCTAAAAGTGCTTTGAAGTTATTCGTATGCTGTACATCCACCAGTCTGTTGCAGATGTCACTGTATAGCACTGAAGGCAGCAGCGAGCATTGTTTTCGAATGTTTTTTCATTCGGATGGAGATCTATCACCTTGAATATATCATTTTTAAATGCGGTGTGTTATATTTGGTGGTAGCGTGTCTCGGTGGGTTAACTAACCTCATACATAATGTTATGTGGTAATTATGCGGTTGCTATTCTGTGCAGATGTGTTATCACTGATTTTTTATTGCCTCCGACGATGACATCTTTTGCTTTGAAATTTTTGCTGATACGGTACGCTGATCAGCTCCTTTCCACTTAGCCGAGATGCGTCATTGAATACGTTGCATACCTACGGTATACAGCACTTGCTGGTTCTGTGTCTACGGTGTAACATTTGTGTGCGTCACTTGTCTTTAGCGTTTCCATTATTCAGCTTCTGTGGAGTTTTTTCATGGCATCGACAGCAAATGCAGCACCCTTTGGTGCTGCTATTTGCAAGCTCTTTTAGCGCGTTCCTTGTTTGACGTGGTCTCCTCGATGCGTACATTGGCCAAACCGGGCCCACATGAGTCGCCAGACAGAGGTTCAGTTTCGTAGTTAGAGTTAACTTTTAGTCTCAGTGCTTTCAGGTATAACCGCAAGAGCATGAACAGAAAATATGTTAGCAACTGAACTAAGGGTTTTGGTCGATGGTGACACTCGTCCATTCTCGATAATGTAATGGAAGATAGTCAGCGACCGAATCAAGGGATCGCCTGCGAACTACTGTATGGTCTGTTTTCGTACTGTTCTATGGTCTGGAGTAGCCAAGATTTAATGTCTTGTTAACCGTCCAGTTAGGCTGCAGATTCAAGTAAAACGGTCGAATTCATAGGGATGTTGCCGTCTGTATATCAGCTCGTATGGAAAG